GCAGCTGATGCCAGACCTGCTAACATATTTGCTGCAGTAGAATCAATTCGCAAGCAAAAAGAAGCGACGGAACCCCTATCTGCGCATGACTCAGACTATGCTAGCATTACCTATGATAAAGGATTCCCGATGGAATCCGAAACGTCAGGAAAATATAGCATTTCTTCCAGTGATCGCGTCTTCTTCTTCTGATGAGGACTAATGGGCCAGATGTGACCATTCCATTCCAGGCAATGCTATTTGCTTAGACTACTTGCCGCTGTGTGACTACTAGTGGATCTCACGAGGTAGCCTCAATGAAGAGTGGGGCGAGACGGCTGCTATCGTTAGGCAACGGCTGTAGTTTTAATTGACCTGTTTTCCTTTACTGAATGAGCATATATTACGACTTGAAGGTAACAGTGGGTGTAGTGTTACGCCGAAGTACCTAGTTTAGTTGATTTGCTTTATGGATGGATCGACCCAGAGTACTAGCAGTATTTACAAAAGGTACTAGTCGTTGTATCGTTCATAGTAGGACGAGGAAGCCAGAGAGGAGGTGTGGGAGAGTGATCATCGTGGAGTTAGGGAGTTAGTCAGAGTGCTGTCTGATTACATCTGCTATTCCCATAATAGGAAACCCTGGCTACCGCCTTTTCCGTTATTATATTTCACCTCTTCCTCTAAGCCTTTTTTATACGAATACAATTGGCCAATTGTCTATTTCTGTTCTCAAGACCTTACTGCTTAGAGCCTGCTAGTAAAGTGATATAGGCAGGTAAATGTTCCGTTTAGGCTACTCCCTATATTCAATTCAACCCACTAATTCGCATTTGGAGTTTCCATTGCTTGATAATAAATCAGCTGCATGATTTCAGGATTCTTGTTCTACAGGATAGGAGGTAAAGCATTTGAGTATTCTCTTTAAGTTTCCCAATCTATTACCAATCTGTTAACGTCGTAGGTATCCAACATATAATGTGCAAACAATTGTTACTTAGACATTAGAACATGCTCCCTCAAGTAATTCATGTGAACAGGCAGCACATTTCGGGGGTTATTAGGGTAAGGATGAATTTCAAGTTAAATGAATTTAGAAGTTAGGGTTTATTTTAACACGCGGCATGTGTTCAAGAGGTAACTTGTCATAGAAATTTTTTAAATCAATCTTAGGCAATTACATCGCGAAGTTTTTTGTGGACACTCATTTTTTTTCGGCAGTGAGGTGACATATTTGGGTGATTCTGAAACCATGACCTAAATAGACAGCTGCACAAGAAAGAATGTTCAAAAGCTCGTTATTTATTTAGGTAAATGCTTTTAAGAAATATCTTATTTTGAACGTTTTGGTAGGCATATAAAAAAAGTCACTATTTATGGTCAATAGACCGAAGCCAGTGAAAATCTTAAAGTGTTTATTAACATTTCAAGGAAGGTCCGAACCTCTGCATAATCGAAATCCCAAAATAGTTACAATGGAATGTGACGGAAGGAAATTTCTCTTAGTGCACGGAAGATGGTATGTTTACAATTGCACCTGACCATTCCATTTAAATTTATAAGCCACCGATCAGCGTGCCCGCACGTGAGCTAACGAAATACAGATTGTCTCAAAAAATGTATACACATTTTCAATAAATGTAAACTTGTTGTTTATTATTATTTTATTATTACAAATATGAAAACATATTTACAAGTGTCATATTATTGATTTTCTGTACCGCATTTTGACTATTGATACAGTGGCCGAATTGAGAGAAGCCAGTGAACATTAATGCACCCGAGTACGAAGGAAATTGTTTCATGGCATGTACTTTTCCATTACTTCGTGTTGTCAGCAGTGTCATGATAAAAATGGACGTCAGTTTGAGAACATTCAGTGAAAAAGAAAAAAAATGATAAGGCGAAGATCACAAATTGAGCAGAGTGCATTGACGTCATACAATTTCGTGTTCAAATTTCTTCCGGGAAAACAATGTTTCAAAAAATGATATTTGTAAATATTTCTAAATTTTTAATAATAAAAGTAGGATAAACACAAATTTTACAATTATGTAAAATATGTAAACATTTTTTGGGACACCCTGTATTTTACTCCTGTGATCTCTGAATGGGCAAATCAAGTGAAAGTGGGGTTGCCTTTGTCCAACGTAAATCAAGCAATGCATAAACGAAAGTAACTAATAGTACTTCTCATGAGAACGTGTTGGAATACAAACTCGAAATTTGGGCTGTTCGGTAACAGCCATACATTACACTGCACGTAATATGGAAGCATATGTACCCAAACATTTTACAAAATGATTATTTTTCAATGTAATTGTACTTGTGCTGCTTTATAAACACTGTGGTTTAGCATGAACAGGCTTCCTCTTCATGTAAAACTTAAGTTTACCTAGTACGCCCAATCTCCACTTTTTCGGAATTTTCCACTTTGCTAAAAAATCTGTTATTCCTATAAAACTTTATATTCCTCTATAAATCGTAACGTGCCCTTTTATGAAGAACGACCAGTACTTTGTTGTTGTAAGACTTTGGGGGCCGCAGCTTGGGCTACGTTTGAGTAACAGGAATTACTTGTAAAAATACTTGGATTTCATGAGTTAGGCAATCTACTATATGTCCATCTCGTTTCCTGATTGGTTAAACAAATCGCTGGGATCTGTCTTAAATTCCACTGGTCTATGTCGAATCATCGCTCGCCTCATAAGTCCACCGTCGACGTACACACCAAGTTCAAAATGACGATTGTCGGCCATTGCGGTCCAGTCTATAGCTATGCAAGTGCCCTAGATATTTGCGCAATTTCGCTGAACACCTTCGGCTTTTTGGCAAATCTCACTATTACTGTTCTTCTCTTCCTACTTCACTCTAAGAAGTTCAAAAGCCTGACCCTTCTTCGAGTCCTGTCCTCCGGCTGTTTAGCTTTCTCGCTTATTAGCCTTATTGAAGAAGTTGTTGGCCTTAACCCCAACAGCGGCAACGTCTACATTGATGGCCTGATATGCATTGTATGGAGTACTCGTTTCCTCTTCTAGTACAACCACCTTCAAGTCTGCCAGAGTCTTTTCTTTTTTGCCTGTAACAGGGCCTCCGAGATGCTGCAAATTAGGAATTATCCCATTACCACGGAGAAACAGCGGCTCACGACATACATGCTCCTGGTCTTCCTGGGCAGTTTCATCGGGGGGCTGCCTCAGTTGCTGCTAGCATTTCCGCTTAGGGATGAATGCGCCTGTGCTCCATTTCCCGAAAACTTTGTCATCTTAACAGTGCTGTATGCTCACGCTTTTCTGTGGACCGCTATTACCCGAATCATTTATCCCGCAGTTCTAGTCTATATCAGCATTGCTTTGATTCTACGCTTGTGGAAATCAGAAGGAGGCGTTATTGCAGATGATCTTGACGCACTTCACTTCCTGAATCCGCAAGCCTTCCCAACATCCACAACCACCACGGCGACACCTGCGCTGCCAGTGGCCTCCTCGACTTACTCTGGTCTTCGTGACAGTAGTAGAACTACTGCTGGGGTTGTTGCGATATCGGGCTATAAAGTTGATCTACATGCCTGGTCGGCTTCCTTTTGCATCGTACCTCTGAGCGCTGCCTGCCTGGTAGGCAACGCCTTCGAGTGGGTTCAGCAATTTCTGAGTGCGGCTGGTGTTTTGAACTACAGCCTGCGCAGTCCAGCTCAACAGTTCAGTGTAACATTGGTTAGCCTGTTTACCGCGCTGGTGCCACTTATCCTCTTTTCCACATCCCCGCGATGCGGTCGCTGATATGCGTTGTAGCTGCGTCAATAAGAGACAAAGTCTGCAAGTTCAAAGCGACGGATATCGGTAACATCCCTTGATCAGGTGTCACTTCGCCAGCGGGGGACGTTCTAAAACGTGCGAATAAATAACAATTCCTTGAATTATTTTAGGTAAGAAATGAGAAGACATTGGGAGCGGCAGAGACCGCGTGATTTACCTTCGGTGTTGTTAATATCATGCATAAACTGTCAGGCCACCTGACTCGAAACGCATTTATGGTTGTACTAACTTTCTTCTGTTCAATATTCCCCGTCATCTGTTTATTGAACTGAATGCATTGGCACAGAGTACTGTGATAGCAATGTTTCCATTTTGCATCCATATTTGAACAATTTATCTGCATCGCTAAAGCGTGACAACGGATTGAGCACCACTAATTTTTAACACTGCGTGTAATGGCTTCAAAATCAAAACATTTTCGGACTCATCATCACTGTTACTCTTGTAGGAGTTCTGATGTTATCTTTCATTAACGAGCAACGTTCTCACGAAGGCATTCACTTTTTTTGGCAGAATATTTCGTTGAATCGATTGAAATACTTTATATGAAGGATAAGCTAGCCTTATGGTTGCTCTGTTGTTTTCTTTCTAATTCAGGATCACGTTTTAACAGAACAGTTAATAATTTTTTTGGTCTCCTAGCGTTCTCGGCATTTTAAACAGTGGCAAAAATGATTTTTAGAACAAACGAGGTGGAATTGCGCTAATTGTTTATGATTTGTCCCCGGGCAAATTGAGATGTAGTTTGAATCTTCTTTAGGAGGTGGGAAATAAATGTGTTTTCATGGAAATATTAGTCTCTCCTAGGATAATATTCAGCTTCACATGGATTATTGGTTTAAGTTTGGTTGTGGTTTAGTTAAGATTTATTTTAATTTGGTGTATAGCAGTAACTACAATACATTTACTTAAATTTGGCGATATTTAACTAAACTAAAACCTAGACTAAACGTAAACTAACAAACAAAATAATAAACAAAATAGTATTCTAAACAGATAAATTTTATTATTCATGGCAAGATTGCGCTCATCTAGGTGAATATCCAGTGTGTTATGAACAATTTCAATAAGAGTATGTATGTAGCACGTTCATGCCACAGAAGACTGAAAATGCATCCTACCTTCAAAAGACAACGCATGTTTGTTTCAAATTAACGTATCCAAGCCGCACACACCCTACATTAGTAAATTCATAATTAACGTATATCGGGCAAGCGAAAATGAGAAAGTAGCATTCAATGATGACGGACTTTAAAGCCAATGTTTAACTAAGGACTTCTAGCAACGAGATACAATTCACGTTTTTCGCTAAAAGTTGTGTTTTGACAAATATTTTCCGGTAACAGTGAAGTTGGTTTTCCACCTTGGATACCCCAAGCCCAAGAATTCTGTCTTACAGGACCGGAGTTATTGCTATCGTTTGGTTTTTAGTTTAATATCTGTTTAAGTGTAGTTTAATTTTTGGTTTAGTTAGTTTAGTTTATTATATAGTAGTACTTTAAGTATATTTTTCTAACTGTGGCGATATCTAATCAAACTAAAGGCTAAGCTAAACTAAAATTTAACTAATAAATTAAACAATAAAAGGTAAACTAAAACTTATGAACCTAAAACTAACCACAAGACTAGGGGCCAACTTTATTGTTACCCACATTCCTTAAAACTAATAAAAGAATTCCAGTGTGCTTTTGCTTTTCAAAAACTTCACAAACCACTTTGCGTGATAAATCATCAAATATTTAGTGAGTATGTAAATGCTTGACAATACACTCGACAGTGGTCTATTCCGTAATGTCTGAGAAAATGGCGGCTTGTCTGTGTACATACTTCGAATTGGTTTGATGTTCAGGTATGGATATTGCTACGGAAGGATCGCAACCGTCTGCCAGTCTACACAACATATTCCTACTTTGATTTGAGAATCCCATTTCAAACAAAGTAGAACGAAGAACTATTTATGACATTGGAGTTTCACTCTTTTCAGCAAACAACGATTATTTGTACACTTCTGCTATAGGAGCCAAGTTAAATCAGATGCTAGTCAAACGCCATAGTTACTTCGGGATAGGAGAAGTATGTATCTACCATTTACCGATAACTTACTTTCCGCTCGTAGTTTTACTCGACATTCGTGATTATGACATCGCATTCAGGCTTTTAACTTAAATCTTTTTTGTAAAAATATGTTTTTCACTGGCGTTCTATGTAAAACATTTCAACGTCGGGTTAGGCGATCCATTCAAATTTAATCCAAGAAAAATGTCAGCGGGCTTTCACCGGTTTTCACAAACAAACAATAAGCTGTAAATTTGTGACTTTAAAACGCAGTAAAAACGGATACAATCGTTTTGAAAGGAAACACAACTGGGTAAGACACAAGTCATGATTTTCCCCTCTTCTGTACTACAAGTAGCTTTGCAGTATATTCCATAGTGTAACTGCTTCTAAGCCTCTCCTAAACACTGATCCTTTTGCCATAATTAGTCCTTACAATAAACATAATGCTAACCTTAGTTAGCCTAGCACTAAACCTAACCCCCAAAATAACCTTAACCATCCTGGCCCAAACAACGGCCTACTTCTGGCCTTTCCTAAAAGTTAGCGATAGAGCACTGGTAATACATGATGAGAACACATGTAACATCTCCTACCCACAGTGCAGCAATCACTCGATTACTTCAATTTTTCCAGGCTACATTTGCGTTAGTAAACTCATCCTCAAGTATAAATGACCTGTACACATATACCCGTGCTCTAACCCTATCCCGAGCAATAGGGTACCTCCTTTACGCCAAGCCGAATTTAATCTCTGACCAAACTTTTGTCACTAACATTTAATAGTGGTGGTAGTTTCGGTTACTGTCTCTGATGATGGATCCGCGACGGAATCCAAAAAATCAGGTGAATAAAGTTCCTGTTGCAACGATCGCACCTACTTCTTCACAACTAAATAGTAGTGCAAGATGCCGAATAGGAAGTTCCTTCTTCCGTGTCATGTCAAACTTTTGCCGTCAGGTTTATGTTAGGAAATCAGTTCCTCAGCATTTGCTTATATTAATGTTCTTTTGAACAAGAGTGAAAATAAAGTGCGACACTTGGATGAAAAGTCATCATGGATAACGTTAGTCACAGTGGATATCCCGCTTGATTATTATTAAAGTAGGCTCCTGTTAATAAAGTGAATATCATTTATCGGAATATTGTTCGCACAATATTAACCTTTATCCTTCGCTCATTTTTTCAAGCTTTAGATAAATAACCATTTAAAAATATCAGAAGTAGAAGATGCGGTTCCTGAGACAAGAATTTTATTTGCCTGACGTTTCGGTTTCCGTCAGGACTCCATAATCATAGGTAACCGTAGATTAAGGTGGGACATGCACAAATTGGCGTGACACAAGCACCAATTGCGCAGTACTTGTAGTTCTTAGCAGACTCGCGCATGCGCACTATAATTTTCAGCCTTTGTAAACGCCACAGGGAATCGTAATTGCTACACTGATGCCTTGGTAGTCCACTTTTGAGTTATTAATTGCCGCAATTTCGTTGACCGTGTTGGATTTGGGCGTGAAGTTATGTTAGCTGTCGTCCGAGTGGTTGCTGGGCCCTGCCCTTCCCACGTGATTGATTGTCTGCTCAGTCTAAGTATGCAGTATGGGAATGGAAATTTGTTGCGCTTGTTAATTGACTGTTGTCCTGAAAACCATGACTCTAGCAGCTCACGACTCATGCGGTTGTCATATCTTGCGAGGATTTCGGCCTTGATAAACTTAAAAATATGGCCGGATCCCGTCGAATGCGCAGCAACCTAATAGTTAGCGCCTTTTCTCTTCACCACTGCTGCTTGCTCGGCCATTCGCGTCCGGAATAATTTCCCGGTTTCTTGGACGTAGTTGCTTTGTTCATAACTGTACCGGATCCGGTAAACGACTTCAGCCATTTTCTGCCGTGGCAGCGGGTTTTTTAGGCTCAGGGCCCGGCGCCTGATGGTTGCTTCTGGTCTTTGCGAAAATCCAACTCCAAGTGGGGTGAGAAGGGGGCTGACTGCTTCCAATACATTCTTCACTTAAGAAGAGCTCGTCAAACTTTTTGGCCAGTTGGAGTTGGGTTCTTGTCTCATCTGCGTATGCATTGGTTGACAAAACTGCGCGGGTAAATACTCGTTCTCAGTTCCCGTCAAAAATATTGTAATTCAGAAACTGTGTCTTCCATTATGCTGCAATGTATCTTAACGCACCGGTATAGCGCTCTTACGCAGCTACGTTTGTGACTTTTCGGATGGTTACTGTTGAAATTCAGAACTTGCATACTGATTGTCGCTTTCCTTAACCCTTTATATTTTGGGCTACCACCTTCTTTGGGGCAAACAAGGACATCCAGGAAGGCTAGCAGTTAGTTTTATTAAATTGAATGTCCGGGAAGACGGCGTTTAGATGGCAGTGTCGTTCACATATCGAGTCCAGAGTTTCGGTCTGTGGTGTTGGAAAAACCAGTGACTCCAACAGTTGCAGAACCGCCTCAACTATGAGTCCGGGAATTGGCAAACTCATGGGCGTGCACTTCATTTGCTCGTAGATGGTTCCGTTGAAGGTAAAGTACGTCCTGAAACAGAACTTTACGAGATGTAGGATTAGGGCGTGTGCGAAACGATTATCCGTGCATGTCTCGCACCACTCTACGGTTAGCTATTACTAAGGATTCTCGACAGAATCCGAAACGTCAGGCAAACCAAATTCTTATTCCAGCGATCGCATCTCCTACTTCTGAACTGCTTCCTGGAACTCGCATATTTGCTTCTATTGACATTTGCCAATAAGATAGAGGGCTCAGCCGACAGTTCCTTCCCACCCACTAATTTACGGTCATAGGCCGAAGCAGGGCATTTGCGAAAAAAGAACAGGGTTGACCATAACGGGTAGAATGTTTTGTGTGAGCAATGCTCTGCCGTCCTTTAAATTCTCGTA